ACGCAGCGTGCCAACAGTCGCGCTGCTTATAATATCATGATACAACATGTACACGCCCTCGTCATACACATGTACACTTATTGCAAAATGTAATAGTTGCTGCTTCAGCAATTATATAATAGATTTTGCATAAGGCAAAATAAAAAGAAGGGTTTTTTTTCTGTAGCTGAGAAGAAACGGAAACTTTAACATTGAAGATAGCTGTAGTTTAGGGAAAGAGTATTTTAAGTGTAACAGGTGTAGGCAGAGATTTAAAAAAAACATATATATAACGAACAATTCTGGGTTATGACTGCTAGGGGTGAACATTTGGGGTCCAGCCTCTTCTCAACACAACAACCACCACCGCCACTGTTAATTGTCCAATCATGTAGTGCCACCTCACCCCCCAAAAAATACACGATGATGATCGTGACAATGCTGAATTAAACACACGACAGCACATAACACTGCCTAAAAGATTGCCAAACTACTGGTAATATATTAACAACAAAAACAACTCTTGACACTTAGAGGAATATTTTAAAACTTGTGATCAAAACTGGTCATACATCAATCTTTTCTATTCGTCTCAGCAAGAGAAACTTTGTATATCAGTTTTATGTTAACTGAATCAAATTGCTCTATGCATACATATGTTATGATACTCCCATATGGCATGGGTAGACATAGGATAAGTAGTGTCAGTGGGCTGCTATTGAGGTCAATAACACAGCTGTCAAATTTTACACGTAGGCTTTCGCAACCACCATTACGATTCATAATGGATTCTTGGGTCTGATCGCATTTATAAAATGTGTCGTGCACCCTCCTCCACCCGACACAGCTAATTAATATGAAGTCACGTGAACAAACTTGGCAAGTAATTACTGCTTCAGCACATCGGTGTGTTGTAGAGCAATCCACAAGCATGTTTCCAAATTGGGGGCAGACGTTTCACTGGTAGTTACAACCAGCATCATCAGGCAGTTGCCAGAATTATGATAATGTCCTCCAGTCTTGGGCCTTAAATAGGACAGAACATGTACAATTTTTACAACTGCCTGATCATGCTAGTTTGTTACTTCCAGATTTCTCTCCATCAGAAGCAGTAATACATAGCCATGTTTGTTCACGTGACATCTTTATTTTATCGGCTGTGTTGGGTACACGAGGCTACATGATGCGTATTTTACTTTCGTGATCTGACCAAAAAATACATTTCGAAGCGCTCAGCTGTCGTCTCAGTACCGTTACGATAGATTCATTGTCTCTCCTGAGTTCAATCCAAAAGCAGAGTCCAGGGCCTGGTTCAGATGCTAATTAGTGATGATGTGCATGGCCACAAGTGCAATGCCCCAAACACATTTTGAGAATGAGACGTAATAAGTTCATACAGGCCCAATGTAATGTATCATTAAACATTGTCTTCCCTCCGTAATCTTCGTGAATTATTCATGCCTTTTTCAAGAGAATGTTGCCTAGCCTCAGGGAATGGTTGTTGAGAATACTTGGCCAAGCCTCACGTGTAAATCTGCATTGCGTGACAACACCGAGGTTCTCGGAGAAATCCCACAAGTTGAAAAATGGAAGAACCCTGAAATTCTGCAGACGTAGTGCAGACCTACTCGCTGTACTGTCTGCTACTGGCACCTTGTTACCTTGCAGGTAGGTCTCTGATGCAATGGCTCAATCTCTTCATGGTCCGCAAAGCACATTTTCCGATTGACTGAAATTACAGGCTTGTGCCACCCCATAACGTTAATTGAAAATTAGCGAACTCAAACTGGACTAACATTTGGTTGGACAGATTAGGTATCTCATTATCAAAACGTTGTGACTGCCCCTTCACACTACGTGTATTATGTTTTCTATATATAAGCAGTCTTTAGAATATTTGTTTTGTAATTAAATATCATTTGTATATTTTAGAGGGGTAAACGGTGATGGGAATTGCATCAATTAGATATTAAGAGGTAAGTGTAATATGCCCAATTGAATTGGCCTTAGTTTTACAATGAAACCGAATGAGTTTGTATCTTTCAAGCAATACCCTTTAACATCTGCACACAATTAGCCTCGTTTTACAAGGTAAACTGATACCAATTTGCATACTTAAATGATCTACCTCTTTATGTGATCAAAACGAGAGCCCATGGGGACAAATGACGTTCTTCGTGGAAGTCAATCTGACCTCTTAAAAACGTAGCCCCCTCTCGTATCACTGAAAATAATGGCAACAGCATGTCGCTTAGCGGAATGTTTAGTGGCAAATTACGAACATTTACAAACCACAGTTCCTCTTTGGACATGTTTACATTTCATGGCATAATATATACTGTATACTATACACAGACATGAAGTGTTTTTTTTTTAGCTGCTTCAGCAATTTTAAAGTTTTAAAAGGAATGTATTACATTACTGAATGAGGAAAAAAATAATACATTTAATCTACTGGCCTGTAGGTTTTTCATTTCAGTGAATCCAAGAAGGATTAATATTTCCTGCACCTCCGATTAGCGCAGTTGGCTACGTTCGGTGCCAAAGTTTAACTAACATACATACAAACCAGAAAGGAGGTGGTTCATCTTCACTGAATCTCTTCACCAGGGTTTTTGCCAATTCACGATCTACACTTTGCTTTTCAACATCTGCTTTCATCTTCCAGCGATTAATGAAAATATTTGATACTTTTAATTTGTGGTTGTGTGCATATCACACCCTCTCGCCTCAATATTTTATATTTATACATCACATTTTACAACAGTTTTTAAAGCACTTACAAATGCTTGCAGCAGACGTATACCATCTTTACACAAGCTTTGGAAGAGCCATGCCTTGCCGAAGACAAAGAGTAGCTGGATTATATATGTATAATAGCCCAAAGAGATATTATGATAAAAGCCAAAACGTTATTACAGTACAGCTCCTCTTACCCACGGTGATACGGGGACCAGGATCGCAGATACACTGGGTTATCTGTGAATTATCGCCATTTATCCATGATAAAAAAAAATATGTGCGGACACTCGAAGATAATAAGCATAGGGCCTTGGGTATAATAGCAGTTTTCCCCGGGACCCGACACATTCTGTGGATAATAGGAACCACAGGTAACAGACTCATGGAGAAGAAGAAGTTCTACTGTGTCCTGAAACCTTCAGCTTTGGACACTGGAAATATCACCAATTTCATGGGATGTGTTCACCAACAGTTTGAATTGCGAAGCAGCCAATTAAGTGGAACAAGCCCCATGATTTAATGCAGCAGCGGCTTTTGGCTGGCCATCCAACAAAGACGGTCACTGCATCGCGCGCATTCGGATGCGCTTCTGCGGCCGTCTGGAACGCTCTTCCTGCCGATATTAGAAAGCCACCAGAGCTATGCATTTTTAAATCAAGAATTAAAACTAATTTCTTTAGAACTGCTTTTCGTGTTTAGTTTGTTGTCCTTCCCCCGCACCTCCGATTAGCATGGTTGGCCACGTACGGTGCGAAAGAAGTTCAAGGTACATAAAGGTTAGGGTTGCAAGCAAAACACTTAATTAAAAAAAACAATCGTAAAGAATAAAAGTTATTGTTACACATAACTTGATACCATTTGTCCATACATACAATATAATAGCCCCAGAAGAAGATGCAACAGAACGATGTTTGGAGTCACTCCAAAAGGCCTATCTAACCCAACATGAGATGGTGTTCCTCCATGCTCTGTAGAGAGTGCTTCTCCACGTGTCAATCATGCTGCTATTTGTGTCGATAAAACATGCCTCTCAGCTAGTGCCAGGCTGAGTACCGTAACTAAAAACACATCAAACGTGATGGATGATTTTGCTTATTCGCAGGCACAAAATTAAAATTGTGCCCAATTTTAATCAGATCGCCCAATTAATTGACATATTTGCCCAGGTGATGATTTCATTGCCTCCGTTAGGCGGTGGCGAGTTCAAGTTAAACATTTGCATTATACCTATACCATCTAACCTAAAATTAACTCATTGTGAATCATATATGTAGTGAAAGCCTACGTTTAAATTTAAGCTAACCATCGGTTAATAGAAAAATAATCCTAGATAATTTTACAATGCCGTTTACATTAAATAAAGAGATCATATTAATGACTATGGGTTTGAATGTGGAAGTTGCATATTTCTCAAGATTAACATTTACTAATCAGTGCATCAAAACCCAAAGCTTATGTTCCCTTGTATCTGCAAGATAATATGGCTGGTAAATGTACAATCCTCGTAATGTGAATTAGTATTTGTGTTGTCTTGCAATGACTTGTGTCTTATTTTTTAGCATTAGCTCAGTGGGCTTTCTCCTGAAGGGTGATATAAATGGTGAGAACCCCTTGATTTTATAACCTGTTTCAATTGAACTAAACTAAGTGTAACAGCAAACAGTAAACGGGGAAGTAATGTTGTGCTTCTCCGAACATGATCGGGCAACTCATGTAAATGACCCAGCTCCAAAACCTGCAATAATGTGCCATCGCATAATAGACTCTAGATTAATTGCATTAATTAACAGGGAATGGCCACGTTGTTCTGGGCAACTGGGTGCATGCACCATTGTCATTATCACAAATCCTGACTCATGAATTGGCTGCAAAGAACGGGGGGGGGGGGGGGGGGGGGGGGGGGGGGGGGGGGGGGGTTGTGAGGGAGCTGGAGGGATCAGTGCCATCGCGTGGGCTGGCATTTGGCCCTGATACAAGGAATGAAATGGGCCCTCTGTTCAATTTTCCCCTTCTCTCTTTGCCCGGTCCTGGACCCCGATGCAGTTGCACCATCTGCACACTGGAAAGTTACACAACCCCACTGTTTTTTGGCGAGATGGATGAGGATGCAGCAATGATGCATTTTCATGACTAAACGAAACTATATATTTATTTTATAAGGCCCACTGAGCTACATTGCTCATTTTCAGAAGCGATCTGACTCACAAATGAAAGTGGCTTATCGTGTGGACATTTAAATACTCCGAATGTGGAGGGAAAAACCGGAGGACCCGGAAAAAAAAAATCCACGCGACCACGGGGAGAGCATGCAAACTACAAATTTACAGGCGTCAGTCGGGATCGAACCCACGACCTCCTGTATTACCAGGTGAGCTAGTTAACATCTCGCCACCATGGCGACTAGTTGTAATGGGGTCAGATCTGTGCCAGGCTGGAGCAGTACTAGTGCCCACTTACTTTCACAAGTTGGTAAGCAATGCCCATGACATCTTGACAGGCCAACCCCAGGCAACAGGACTGTTCTAAGAAACTGTTACAATGGAACAAGTCAATCAGACCTGTCACGTACGGCGGTAGCTCGGATTATCTTGTATTTTCACGCAATTTGAGGATGGGTACTTTTTGACATTGAACAATCATTTCTTGTTAATAATTCGCTTCAATAAGTAACACATTGTATGCACTTATTCTGAGCGCAAAGCGTCAATTTTATTTGATGCATCATTACGTACATCATTCCCGCCCCCCCCCCCTTCTCTTTACCTCTCCTCATACCTGTCTATAATCTCAAGCCACCACTTGCCAATCTCACACCAACCATTAGTCACTCACGTTTGCGATCTGCAAATCGGGATTTGGTGTCAACCATGTTGGTTTATCGACAGGACAAATAAAACTCAAATTAACGTAAAAAAACCAATCACAAACCCTCATGTTAAAATGTGTTAAAAAATAGCATCACTTTTACATACTTTGCAAATTATCATCTCCCACCGTAGCCTGGATTTCTACCGAGTGTATATGCATCCCCCCTGGGTCAGACTCTTGTGGGTCATCAGGGGTAAGTGGGCGAGGGTGCAGATAAGGACGGGCGAGACAAAACTGAAGTGAAGAAACAAGCCTCAGCCTCACCTTGGTCCAACTTTACCATGATCGTGACTGGTGGTGGCAACGTGGAGTCAAGGGATGACCATGTAAGACGGGCCTGTAGCCATGGGTTAGACCCCAGGCTGACGTTAAATAGAGTATAGTGCCCCCTCTAAATATCCAGATTGCACACGGTCACAGTGCTTGTCAGTATATGTTGGCGTCCTGTGTAAGTAGAGCACTCACCTGCACCATCTTAGCCAGCTACGGGCCTGGTGCAAGAGAACGGAGTGGGGGCAAAGGAAGCACGTGTATAGACATGGGTAGAGCGTGAGGCATAGGCTTGGGTGGGTTTCGGCATGCGTTCCACTATATCAGCCCACCACACATCTACATTTTAAAACTGCTTTAAAGAACTTAGCATGAACGATTTTGAAATTATGGGGTCAATTTCCCAAGAGGGCCTCTTTAATAAAGGGCACAGTTACTCGTCCCATGTTGGCACGCCCGTGGGTCTTAGCCAAAAAAATCACGTCCTACGGTTGATAACACGTGTGGCTGAATGAAACGCCGTGAAACCAAGAGTCGACCGCAATTCGAAGTTTTGACTTTTATCACAACTGCCTCTGCTGCCTGTTATTATTCTTATTCTCGTTTGTCATCTTCCACCACACCAAGGGCCTTTCCCCCCGACACGCGTGCCCTGCGCGCCGCACGTATCGATCGGCTCGGTGTTGAACTTCGCCGCTCGCTAAGGGCTCCTCTTGGTGGCCACACCGAAACCAAAAGAGTCGTCGCTTTCGGGCCACGCCTGGTACGGGGAGGGCAGCGTGCGCGTCTGCGCCTGTCCGGTCAGGTGGACCTCGGTGTCCACCAGGCGACGGGGTGGGGACAGCCCCTCGCCTCCGCCTCCTTCCGGCTGTCTCGCCTGCTGCTGCTGCTCCTCCATGGCAAAGCTGTCGTAGGCCTCCTTGCACGAGTCCTCGGGCAGCAACGCCCGGCGCTCGGTGAAGGAGGCGGACGGGCGCAGCGCGCACACGTGGCGCAGCAGCAGGAGCATTGGCGCGTAGAGGACATTGGTGAGACCCATGCCCAGGCTGAGCTGCACGAAGCCCATCGTGTGCACGATCTGCCCGGCCACGATGGGGCCCATGGCGTAGGCGAGCGAGTACGAGATGTCCGCGATGGCGTACACGCTGCCGTACACGGACGCGTGGCGCACGTCGACGAGGAAGGCGAGGAGGGGCAGCAGCGCCGTGTCCACGAGGGCGATGCCGAAGCAGATGCCGCAGAGCGGGGCGATGAGCTCCTCGAAGGTCCGGCACGCGGGCACCAGGCACGAGCTGGAGCCGATGATCACGAGCCCCAGGCCCCCGTAAAACCACTGCAGCTGCGGGTACTTGGCGGCCAGCTTCACCGTGATGTAGACGCCGAGCACGTGCGGGAAGAAGGCGGGCAGCCACGTCATGCCGCGCTGCCACTCGTTGGCGCCCATGGTCTTCTTCATCCACGACGCTATGGTGGGCTCCAGGAACGCCAGCGGGATGTTGGCCATGGTGAGCGCGCCCGCCACCACCACGATGTAGGGGTCCATCATGAGCCGGTAGATCGGCGTGCCCTGGGGCATGTTCTCGCGCGAGCGGCTCGAGAAGGGCTTCGCCACCACCATGAGCAGGAGTCCGTCGAAGAGCGACACACAGGCGAGCACCAGGAAGGGCACCCGCTTGCCCACGAACTCGTACAGGGTGCCGCCGAAGGGCGGTGCCACAAGACTGCCGAACGAGATGAAGGCGAGCGCGATGCCCAGCGCACGGCTGCGCTCCGCTTCCTCGGTAAAGCGGTCCGCGATCATGGCGATGGCCGCCGTGTCGGCGAACGCGGACCCCAGGCCCTGCAGGGAGCGCGCCGCGAACAGCGTTGCGTAGCTCTCACCGAAGGCGAACACGGCCGTGGAGAGGAAGATGATGGAGAGGCCGATGAGCAGCGGGAGGTCGTAGCCGACGCGATCGATGAACGTGCCCGTCAGGGGGTTCACCAGCAGCTGCACGATGGCCTTGGAGGCGAAGAGGATGCCGATGCGGATGTCTTCGTCGGCGTCGTCGTCGGCGACGTGCGCGGTGGCGGCCACGGTGGTGGCCAAGGCGGCCGCGGTGGTTGCCGTGCCACTGGTGAAGTTGTAGACGCCCCCCACACCCTCCTCCCCCTCCTCGGAGTAGGTGGCGACGGCGGTCGTGACCTCGTGGCGGTGCTGGCTCCGGTGAGCCCTCTGCTCTTGCGCAAGCGCCGCCCTCTCCGTGTCCCGGTGCATGGCCTCAACGTAGTCGGGGATGATGGGCACGATCACCATGTAGAGCATATTGTCGAGCAGCAGGGCCACGCACACGATGAAGAGCACGAGGCCGCGCTGCCGCCGAGGATTCTGCATCCCACCCATGCCCCGGTGGGCCGTGTCCCGGACCCACGTGGCCACCCGCCACGCCATGCCCTTTCGCTTTCGAGCCCCTTTTGGCAAACTGCCTCTCTCGGTCGACGGCACCTTCGCTCAAGAGTTACAATTGGAAGCGATCCCAGGTCTTTGTACTTCTGTCGAAGTTATGGCGAGTCAGTCCCGGTTTGGTGAAAATGTTGCGACCGCTTAAGGGACATCCGATTGCGACGTTTCGGTGTGTAGCCTCCAGAACTGCTAATTGCACTTGCTGTACATAGAATATATATTCTGTTTTAAAAGTGTCTCTTTTAGAGGCGATTGAAATAAATCACCTGGCAAAGTGTATTCGCTTTTTTTTTCAAATAAACATTGTCGAGAGTGAAATAAGACTGTGCACAAGTTGATTTTGACGTAGGGAGGCGGACATAGAGTTTGCGGAAATACTTTGTGCGCGCGCGTGTCTGTGTGGGGGTTTTTTTTCCAGCCAGCCGACTTTATTTCGCCTTTGGTCTCTCTGTCTCTCGTCTCTCGTCTCGTCCACCCCGCAACGTGGAAGGGTGGGTGAGGGTGAGTGGGGGTCCCGCGAGGGCGGTGGGTTTAGTCTCGCGACTGAAAAGGGGGAGAGACAAGAGAGGGGAGAGGAGGAGGAGGAAGAGACAAGAGAGACCTTATTTGTTTGACTACATTATGTTCTCCCGCACAATCATAAACACACCATTACAATATTTAGCATTTACTTTATTGGGGATTTTTTGTTCGTTTAAAAAAATAAATCACCAAATGATAATCCAATTCGGATAACTTGGCCATGAACGAAATTTCCAGTCAGAACTCTCACGGTGAGCGTTGGAGTTATCACATTATGTCAGGGGATGGCCCCAGATAATGACGTTACAGAACTACTTCTGAAGCCACTTCAGTGGGCCTCTAATCCAAAACTGGACGGTGTTCCTTTTTATGCGTTGTAAAGGGTGACATTTCACCAAAAATTTGGATCCTCAGAATAAGCCACATTTTGTAATAAAAAATAAATGAGGGATGGTGGAATATGTATGTAGTCCTTGGTGACCAGGCTGAGATAATTAATTAACTACATATGAGGACGCAATTTAATCACGGATGGCCGAAACAAGCATTCTAATTGATGATATCAGCCGTGTTGGCTCGCTTTGATGTGGGCATCAGCCTCAACTCATCTGGCCACCTCTACGGTGTTTAATTATTATGTTAAGTCGGCTGGAAGAAAACTAACTTTCCTGTCAACGTTATGTGCTATTTTATCGACGTGTCGATACAAAAAATAATGCTTCCTAAAAGCAGCGTTTATCGTATTATATGAAGGTATTAATCGAAAAACTTGTAATCTCCCACAACTCTCTACACAAACATCAGGTGAAGATGATATGAGAAGAATGTACCTGCCATTGAGTCCGCAGAATTACTTTTGAGTCTTTATTCTATTTTAATTTTTTCTGCCACAAGCATGAGAGGATAATCCTGATGCGTTGTGCAGATGAATGATTATAAACGTCTATCGTCTGTAACATATACTACATCATTCACGAGTGAAAGTACCTCCCCGAATAATGAGATGCTGCTCAATTCTGTTGGCGGCGGATGCAAACACGATGATAATTTCAGTCTTGCTGACCCGCCCATAATGGACATTGTGAAAAGAGCTTCATAGCTCATCGGATTCCTCCTACAGTCTAAATAAATATTCATATTCTGTATTTTATATTCGAGATGCCAGAAGCAAAAGTAAATGGAGACCATAATGAGCAAGGTGCCGAGGAAAAACAATAGACAACACTTTGGCGAAGCACAGCAAGTATCCAGGAGTTATCGCAGTGTAAGCACATTGCCGCCGTTGAAGGTCAACGAATTTAGGAGCAATTGGTAAACGCTTATCCAAAGTCTAAAGCGAGTCTCAATTTAAAGTAAGAAGTCCAGCTCTCGAATACTCGTTCCATTGTCACAACCGTTGGCACATTGTCGCAAATCATATACGTACACTGGACATTTACATCAGAGGCCAGAAAGAAAAAAACATTCACTTATTGTAGATTTGACGTCCTTAGATGCAAATCTTAAATTATTATTTTTATATCAAGATTTACATTTTACGCAACTTAAAAAATTACGGATATATACTTTTTATTTTTTTCGGTAAAGTCACGTAGGTAAAATAAAATAGAACAATTAAATCACGACGTTTCGGAGACAACACAAGCTTCCATCTTCAGGTGGAACAGTCACAGAAGAATCTGTGTCTCTGTGTCAAGTGCTCTTGACACAGAGATTCTGCTGTGACTGTTCCACCTGAAGACGGAAGCTTGTGTTGCCTCCGAAACGTCGTGATTTAATTGTTCTATTTTATTTTACCTACGTGACTTTACCGAAAAAACCCAAAAAGTATGAATCCTTGCAGTCACGAAAGCTTCAAATCTAGAATTACAGATATATACCAACAAACATAATGGAGGGTGATTTTAATACTGTCAAAAACATAACTTAATGTTGCTCCATGAAGCTTGGGTCAAAACCAATGAGCCCAGATAGCTGACCAAGTATTATCTCAGATTAATTATGTGTCGTTACTACTTTCTGCAAATCTCACAAAGTCTCAAAGCCATAAGAGCTCATTGTCAATTGCACTTCCAACCAACGGTCTGTCCAAATTGAGTGCACACTGTCATTTATAATCCCCTTGAACCCATGCAATTAAATCTCAACATGAATTCCTACCTGTGGAACACTGAAATACAACGCTAAAACAAGAAAACAATAGGAATGACTGAGATTAGGTTTTCCCTTTTTTTCTGGCAACAAAACAGGTGTTGAGATGTTAAAAACACCAAACTGAAACCTTTTACAAGGAATCATGCCTGCATTAACCACAATGCTTGTGGTCAGAATGCAAACAAAAAAAATACTTTGATAATATGATGCATTGTCTTTGAAACTGATTGGTCCACACCAGAGACAGCTTTCTTTTGAGCCTAGTCTCAAAACGTTGTTAGACCAGAGGACGCCAAAAAGCGTACACAGCACAAAGGCAATGCCACTATCAGAGTAATGAGAGCTCAGTTTGATGTTTTAACATCTCAACACCTGTTTTGTTGCCAAAAAAAGGGGAAAACCTAATCTCATATTTTGGTACTGGCAAAGGAGGTCCCATGATGAATGAGAATTACTTTAAACAAATAGTTATACCGACATATCTATTTCACAATTTTCCCCCATATCCAAACAAACATTGGGCGGCTATAATCTATATTGACAGATACGAGACAATGATGAGAATTTCTATTGCTATCGTGCCTTGATATGTACCGCATGGGAGGCGTAGGATTAATAGTAAATAATTTATGATGATCCTACTGTAGGACTAGTAACCATATTGAACAGCCACCATTCATTTTGACCGGAACTAAATTAAGATCTGAGCTGTCCCCTGTCTCGGGTTCAAGTTTGCATCTCGAATTTTCACCACTGACTCAAGGCTGTCTATCGGAGATGAGCACTATGCATGCTTATTTAGGAGCCGCTTTGACTTCAAAAAGTTATTTGGGGCCAGGCTGAGACACTCAAACGTATTACAACATACGAAAAGCTGACTTAACCTTGGGTAACATCCTAGATTTCCAACCCAGGATCTCAATGGCTTAGCACAGTTCTAAGCTACACAATTGATTTTGAGCAATTCTTCACGTACATAGTATGTATGGTGATGCATTGACGATGCTGATGATGATGACGAGGACGACAGTTACGCAGTGGGCCTGTTACATGATACTCTGCAACTCTGCCAGCATCAGTGACAGCCCCCCCCCCACAACTCAGGATCTGCGGGATTAATGGTGCTTTCCACCTACACGCCAAAAAAATTGCGTGTTTGCAATGCTAAGAGAAGCAAGCGTTGCGACAGATAGCCGAGGCATAGGCATTCAAAGGTGATGGTTTCGCACATTGCACAGTTGCTGTTGCAACCTCAATCATATATGTACGTATGTTGAAATGTGCGTTGAACTTCTTTCGCACCGTACGTAGCCAACCGTGCTCATCGGAGGTGCGGGGGAAGGTCAACGATAGTGACGGAATGGAAACCAAGGAATGGAAAGAGTCTGAAAGGACATCCACTCAGGAGATGGGGCGATGAAGTAAGCGCATGTGCGGATGCTAGGTGGCTTGTACAATCACAGAACCATACAACATTCATTGTAACGGCTTGACGAAGCCTTCACCCTGCAGTGGATTTGCCACGGCTGATGGTGATAATGAAGCAAGTTAATAAAAAAAAACATGTTTTCAAAAGACGTTATTCTAAAAGCAATGCAGTGATATTTATATCATTGCATCGAGCTAAACAATGTACCCCTCTTTGTAGCGGCTTCACGCTGGGCCCCCATTACTCTGCTAGATGGCCCTGGGCCGTGACGCCAGGACCCTGTCAGTCACACCTGTATGACATTTAAATATAAATAGACGGACGTATGCTACAAGGAAATTCGCTTTTTTTTTTGCAGACGCTACGCAGCATTATGATCAATCTTAACAAGTTAAACTCTAATTGTCTCTGCCCAAACGGGCGTGGAGCGATGCTCATCTCTACTGGCAGCTCTGAGCAAGTGCAGGGAATCCCACGTGTATGTGGCTGGCAGGATGAGACTAAGATGCGGTAAAATCCCTCGAAAGCCAGACCAATTGGGGAGCGGAGGATTGCCGATGATGGGCTATGTCCGGTAAACTGTAATGTAAATTATTAACCAGTAACCACATTTACATCTAATACCTGGAATTGAATTAAGAGCCAATAATACATAACTAAATATTTTCAATTTAATATTTACAATTTAATTATGGTTAAAAAGTAACTATTATCCACTGTAATTCAAATCACTTCTCATTACCATGATATCTAGGCTGATTCTGACGCCCAAAACAATGGGGCTTCAAGAATGTATTAAAATATATATTTTCGTGGATGAACGTGGCATCCAGGTGCATTGGTTAACCATATTCTATACAAAATATACGTGTACACGTGGTGTCTTTAGAATTGCTCGTACACGTACACAAGCCATCACTTTATACGCAAAGTGTCAATTAGCAAGTGAACAGTGTTCCGGTCGGACTGTGTTTTAGTGTTGTTAAATACTTACATGTTTATATTGGTAGCCTTTCTAGCTTTACCCAGAATTCCCGCTTAATTAAGTCCAGCTTGGAGAGGTTAGACTGTGTTTTTGAGGCCATGGGGTTACATATTTTTTCTGGGGCCCGTGCCTAGTGACTTTGGCGCCCCACGTGAGAGTCGGGATAGGGTCCTTGACTCGCAGGGCCCTCCCGAGCAGGGGCAATCTGCTGCAGCCACTTATCCAAAAGGTGGAAATTCCACGTTAAAAATTGCAATGGCGAGTCTCTCTAAAATAAGACACGGACCATTGATTTCCCAGAGAGCACGTACTCATTGTATCAACCCCGAAGGAATACTAGGCGAATAAAACTCCCACAAGGGATTTGAACCGAATCAAGTGCTCCGATGAAAGTACCAACTCAGATGGATTTAAATACAGGCCAGTTTGAATAGAGCCAACAATAACATAATA